CAGGTCATGATCCCAGGGTCCTGGGATCGAGCCCCGCATCGGGCTCCCTGCTCCACAGGAAGCCTGCTTCTCCCTCTCCTACTCCCCCTGCTTGTGTTCCCTCTCTCGCTGTGTGTCTCTCTCTGTCAAATAAATAAATAAAATCTTTAAAAAAAAAAAAGGAATAAGATATTCAATAGTCAACCACATTGGATATGCCTGATTAAGAAAAATTCATTTCCCTCTCCCAGTAATTTATCAAAATAAGAGGTCTTCAAAATATCATATTATTACATTTTAAGTCATCGAATTAAAAGGCATAAAAACTTAAAATTCACAATCCACCCTTAATCATGTCTCTCAATAAGTAGGCAGGCAGGCAGATAGATTAAAAGGAAACTATAAAGTTCTTTTTAAACGACATAATTGTAAGGTCCCCTAGTTTAGGAATTAAATAAAACTGCTTACCAACTTTTCTTCTCCATTGTTTTTTCCACTGATTTAACTAGTACTTCAGCATTCCGTTCATATGAAAGGAAGAGACAAACATTCGTTGTGACAGGGAGAACACACTAAGTACAACAAATATTTTGCACAGAGATAAGAAGGGGAAACTAGGTCAATATCCTGTGGCCGGGAAGAAGCAGCCTGAGCTTCCATCCAGAACTGTATTATATGATTAACCAGGCTAGACTCTCTTCTCTCCAGGCTACTGCTCTGACCCATGCACCTGGGATACACAGACTCTGGGAGAAAGGAATAAGAGATGCATCTACTACGTCCCAGCCTTTGGCAATCTAATTGGGGAAAGAAAACACATTAAGAGCCAAATAACTCATAAAACAAGTGTCACACAGGGCAGGTGATTCACCGCAGAAAGAGGAATATAGAGACTCAGGTTTATGATTAGAGGCAGAGCTATTACTATGGTGTAGGAGGATCAGACAAGGATGGCTAAAGAGGAGAAACTTGCCCTGGACTTTCTGAGGATGAGCAGTATGTGGTCCAGCAGAAGAACTTTAACACAAGAAGAACAAACCAGAAGAGAGTGATTAGGAAGAACGACAGCAGAAGACAGCTGGGGCGGGGCCCTGGTGGATCGTGAGGCTGGGAGGAAAGGTAAGCTGAGACAAGACAAGAGAGTCCAAGCTGAGGAGCTTACAGCTGGGAATGTGGTGGGAATGGGTGGGAGAGGAGAGGGAAGAGTATCTATTGTGTCTATGCTGCAGTCAGTGCATCCAGAGGGCCACAAGTGTGACTAAGAGTCACTGGTGACAGTACGATGGAAAATAAGATCGAAGATAGCCATTATAGATTATGGGGAGTCATCAAAAATGTCTTGAGCAGCGACAGACAACAAAAAATGTAAAGGTTGTTTACTTAGTGAATAGTCCAAATTAGCTGGGAGAAAGCTAGAAGCAAGAAGCAAAATTGCTCTGTGCAGTTGTTCAGTTTGTGCACTGCATAAAAAGCCAAGGGGGAAAGTGGGCACTGACATCAAGTGGACCTCTGTGGGATAGTGTCTGCCCCGAAGGGTACCTTTTTCCAACTGTACAGTAAAGGTACCATACTAGCTAGCAGCAGGGAAACCAGCTAGGGCACAAATCTAGAACTAGGGTAGAACTAATGGAAGTGAAACAGGTGGATAAGTGCAAGAGAAATAACAGACGACTCTATCATAAAAGGCAGAACACTAATTGATGGAGGGGGCAAGAGAGACAGGAGGGTTTAAGACTAAAGTAGCCTCTCTCATCCAAATGCATAAAGATTGACAGTTTGGCTGCTTGGTTTAAAGGAAAAAAAAAAGTCAAAGTTGGAAGACATTTAAAAAGATAAATACCAAAACATATTTTTTTAAATTAAACCCTATCATCATACATTTATTTGCCCGTGTTTTGCTGTAATGCTGAGGCCTTTTCTCCAAGTCTATGTCCACCAGCTGCAGTACCCAGCGGTACTTTCTTTTATAAACCATCTCAAGGCATCACCCTTTTAAAGGTCAAATTTCTTTAAAGAAATGGTGAGGCTATAAAGACACCAGAGAAACAGTGCAGATGCTCACTACTACTCGGTGAGAAGGTTATCTACCTCGCCGAATGCAGGCAGGGTCACGCAGGCTTCCCCGCGGTCTTTCCCTCCGCCCAAGGGGTCAGCAGGGTTCCAGAGGGGGCTGCTTCATCACACTGTGTCCCCTAGTATGGACGAGGGCGACACAGAGCAGAGCCATGGACCTGGCCGTCGGTGAACGCACCGAGTGAGCGCAGATTATTGCTCTGAGCCACTAAGATTCCTGGGTCTTACATAATCACAGCTGAACCCACCTATCCTGAATGGCTGACAATATTAGTGGGAACACTCTTCTTTTAGGACTCCCCAACTCCTTTACAGTTACCTCAGCCACTCTAAAATCAGCCGCCATTCCGTTTTAGAAACTTACTTTTTATCAGGTGCTTTCCAAAACATTCAAACGAATTCAAATAAATTGTCACAAAAACAGTAATTACTTTTGCCCATATATTTAAAATCTTTATATTAAATAGAGGAGTAAGTACAACTGGCATAAACAGGTTTGGGGAGAAGGAAAAAAAGCTGAGTCTGGACACTCACACATGTCCACTGGTGGGAACAGAAACCCAAGAGCAGGGCGCCCGGGTGGCTCAGTCGGTTAAGCGTCTGCCTTCGGCTCAGGTCATGATCCCAGGTCCTGGGATCGAGTCCTGCACTGGGCTCCCTGCTCAGCGGGGAGCTCTCCTTCTGCCCCTCCCCCCACTTATGCTCTCTCATGCGCTCTCTCAAAGAAAGAAAATCTTTAAAAAAGAAAAAGAAAAAGAAACCCAGGAACACACAACAGGGGAGCCCTGTAGCTTTGACCATTTCATGTGTTATGGACATCAGTTGATATATTTTGCAGAGAAAAAGAACACCAACTAATCCAGCAAGTCTGGAGGTCCCTAAGACCTTATACCATTTTCTAAAGCTGTGAGCCTAGAAAATTATAATAATGAAGAGTACTATCGTATTACCAGGTTAAAAATCTAGCCGGTTTTTCAAAACTATATCCAACTGCCATATTTTTTCTGTCCCAAATGTACAGTCAGAAGTGCTTAAGTCATTTAAGAAAGCACAAAAATAACACTGCAAACCCACAACCAGACATAGAGTCAAGAGTACAAGGTCACATGTCATTCCATAACCCGGCTCTTAAAGATAGAATAAACACATAAGTTACTATTAAAAACTAAATTTGAGTTTCATACTTTAAAATTACATACTGCTTTAAAATTGTCAACAGAGATAAATGTTTCTCTCAAGGTTGCCTAGTAAAATCTGGGTGCTTCCATTTTGGGTGGCCAAAGAGTCAATCTATCCATAATTTACATACTTTAGAAATCTGATACTCAGCCTCTTCAATAAAAATATGAACTTTATGCAGAAATCATATTGATATATTTCAAAAGATTACTGAGAGAAACACTATGTAAATACATATACACCAGAAACCCCAAAACAACCAACCATAGTTTAAATAACATCCTCCACAAGTCAACCTTGTTCCCTTCACCAATATGCACACGAAGCCTCCCTCCTAGGCATCAAACAGGATAATCTTAACCTCTATAGCTTTAAAAACAAACAAAAAACCTCCATCTGGAGACAAAAAGCAGTAATACCACACCTGCCAAAATAATTCTGCCCCAGACTCTACTGAGATAGCAACCCATTCAGTCTTATTTTAACCAAGGCAGACCCTTAAAAAGAAAGGGAGAAAAACACTAATTTGTGAAATATGAGGTGAACTCAAATATAAAGTTTTCCTGAACCCTGACCTAAATCAATGTTCCCAGTATTTTTTTTTTTTTAACTGTGAGATAAGCAACCATGAGGACAGGATCACAAAATGGTTTAGTCTTCTCATAAAATAAAACAATCAATCAATCATCATCATCATCAAAATAAAACAAGAGTTAATCTGACACCTGGAAGGAGGAATACTTTGCTATAGGATGAGGAGTTGCCATTGAGGAGTTGAAGACAGACAGAGGAACCTGACTTCAGGAAGAGAAGAGGGCCAAGGCCCAAACCCTGCAGGATGTGGACGCCAAGGGGGTCAGGAGGAGCTGAGGGTTGAGACCAGAAGAACACAGGTCACCAAAGCCAAGACACACATATGACAAGAAGGAGCAGATGATCAACCATGTGAAGGATGGGAAGGAGCACAGAGCAAGGAAGGAGACGGGGTTATCAGGCCTAGAAGCCATGTGTTAGGGGCCGAATTGTGTCCCCCTCCCAAATTCATATGTTGAGGCCCTAACCCCCAGGACCTCAGAATGTGACTGTACTTGGAGACAGGGCCTTTAAAGAGGTGATTAAGTTAAAACCAGACCATTATTGTGGGCTCTTACCCAATATGACTGGTGTCCCTATAAGAAGAGAAGACTGGGACACAGACGACACAGATGGAGGGACAACCAGATGAGGACACAGAGAGAAGGTGACTGTTTGCAAGCCAAAGAGAGGCCTTGTCAGAAACTACAGCTGCTGACACCTTATTCTTGGATTTCCAGCCTCCAGAACTGTGAGAAAATACGTTTCTATTGTTTCCACTACTCAGTCTGTGGTGTTTTGTTATGGCGGCCCTAGCAGACTAATAAACCATCCTACGACCCCTTCTGGCAATTGCCTACTTCCAGTCTCTTCCTCCATACAGCTAAGGTTTCTGACAAGGCCTATCTTTGACACTTGCCACATGCCACTGAAACAGCTTCAGATAAAATGTCACCACCTGTTCATTGCCCACTGCACTCTCTCCTTAAGCTCTCTCCTGCCCTGGCTTCCATAGGGCCATTTCTTCCTGGCTGCCCACTTCCTACCTCCATCACTCCTTATTCTTAGCGGCCTCTCCTTCCTCTAGTCACAAAACAATGTTCCCCAGAGTTCTATCACCCACCTTCCTCTCTCCTCATTCCACCCTCCAAGCAATCTTAACATCTTCAACCAGATGCCGGCGATCCCCTCATTGGACCTCAGGCCCTGGCTTGTCCCTGAGCTCCAGGCCCTGTACCTCGGCAGTCTGCCGGGCCTCACTCACTGCCCTGAGGCCCCGTATCCCAAAGAGAACCCGTCCCCTTCGGACCTGTGTGTGCCAGCCATTCCTGACCTCTCAAAGGAACCGGGGAACCCTCCCACATTCCAACTATCACTGTTCTCAACATCTACTGTCAGAAGATCAATATTCGAAATATGGAAAAAGTTCTATGTACAACAATGTTAATCAATGTATTACTCACAACAGCAAAATGTGGAGGCAACCCAAATGCCCAACTGTAAGAAATGTTTGAGGACATTACGGTACTCAGTGGAATAATACACAACTATAAAATTGATTTCAAAAACTCGGCAGCAATACAGATCTTAAAACATAGGCATAAAAAGCGTGGAAAGGAATATTCAGAAATGACCAGAGCTGAAAGTTCCTCCATTTTCCAAACTTTCTGGAATGTTCTTAAGATGACTCTCTAGTATACAATGTCCCAATGAGAGTTCCAGCCATCTTGGACTTTCAGAATTGCTTGGCTGAAGGATAAATAGGAGGTTTACTCCAGACCTGCCTTCAGCTGTCATTCCACATCCGCGCTACATCTGTTGCAACGTCCAATGCAAACTCCCATTAAATAAATTTCCC